TTTCCTTCCTTCCTTCCTTCCTTCCTTCCTTCCTTGAGACCACAATTATTCCTTCCTTCCTTCCTTCCTTCCTTCCTTCCTCACAAAAACATCTCTTCCTTCCTTCCTTCCTTCCTTCCTTCCTTCCTAAATCAAATTTATTTTCCTTCCTTCCTTCCTTCCTTCCTTCCTTCCTTAATGGAAGAATCTTTCCTTCCTTCCTTCCTTCCTTCCTTCCTTCCTTATAAGTTTTTTTGTTCCTTCCTTCCTTCCTTCCTTCCTTCCTTCCTTCTAAAACTTACTATTCCTTCCTTCCTTCCTTCCTTCCTTCCTTCCTGAGAATCTGTTTTATTCCTTCCTTCCTTCCTTCCTTCCTTCCTTCCTTATAGTATTATTTTTTCCTTCCTTCCTTCCTTCCTTCCTTCCTTCCTTCCTAGAGTAAGGGTTCCTTCCTTCCTTCCTTCCTTCCTTCCTTCCTTCATAATTATTCATTTCCTTCCTTCCTTCCTTCCTTCCTTCCTTCCTTTGTCACCATCATTTTCCTTCCTTCCTTCCTTCCTTCCTTCCTTCCTTTATCCACAAATAATTCCTTCCTTCCTTCCTTCCTTCCTTCCTTCCTAATTGTAACAATTTTTCCTTCCTTCCTTCCTTCCTTCCTTCCTTCCTAAACTATCATAAGGTTCCTTCCTTCCTTCCTTCCTTCCTTCCTTCCTGGAAGTATAGATAATTCCTTCCTTCCTTCCTTCCTTCCTTCCTTCCTCTTCAAAGAGAAGGTTCCTTCCTTCCTTCCTTCCTTCCTTCCTTCCTGATTTCAGTAGCAATTCCTTCCTTCCTTCCTTCCTTCCTTCCTTCCTCCAAGTCAGAGAACTTCCTTCCTTCCTTCCTTCCTTCCTTCCTTCCTTGGAACTACTGTTGTTCCTTCCTTCCTTCCTTCCTTCCTTCCTTCCTGGAGTACCTCCCATTTCCTTCCTTCCTTCCTTCCTTCCTTCCTTCCTACTGCAATAATTTTTTCCTTCCTTCCTTCCTTCCTTCCTTCCTTCCTTCC